GAGGGGGGGGGGGGGGAGGGCGGACCCCCGCCCCGGGGTCCCTCAAGAGCCGCCCGCTCCTCGGGACCGGGAGGCTGCGGCGCTGCGACCCGGGCAGCAGCTCTGGGCTGGCCTAGGGCTGCTCCTCGCCCAATCTCTTCATGGCCTCCAGCACAGCCAACTCTTTTGCTTCCTTCTTCTGGTTCCTGGCTTCAAACTCCAGCCTGCACCAAACACAAAATGCCGTAGGATTCCCGTCCATCCATGTCCCAGCAGGCTAAAAGCATCATTGCCTCCTGTGCTGCTTTGTTCTGAGGGCACTTCAGAAACCTCTCCATAACCCCCAGGCTCCTCTTGGACAGCCAGTACCCAGAGCTTCCCACACTGGCCAAGCAATACTTTCTTCTCCCTCTGCAGAAGACTCTGCTGTTCCATTAGTGCCATAAAACCAACATCAAATTTACCACTGATCTGAGCCATGACCACTGAAAGTGAAGGGCTCAGGCCTGAAAGAGCAATCTCTAAAAGAAGCCACATATGCTAGTCCCCAAGAATACACAAAGGAAAACGTTATCATTAATAGAGGAGGAAAAGCAATGAAATGTGCTGTGGAGCACAGGCTGACACAGTAGAACTCAGCTGCTTGTCTTCCTGTCCAGCACAGCCAGGTTTAAGCAGCCAGCCCAAGCTGCAGAGACAAAGACCCAGGTCACTGCCTCTGCATTCAGATAACCTCTTCTCTTCCCATTTGACCCCATTAATTAGCCCCCAGACAAGGTAGACAGAACAGCATGTGACAGACTGGGAGATGAAGGAAGCCAACCTGTTCTTGATGATCCTTTGCACAATCAGGTCTGTGGTGAGGTTGCTGCCACTGTCCACCAGCTGGAAGATGTTGCGTCTCTTGGGTTCCTGTGAGCAAACCCACCAGAGCCTGCTGTGAAAGCCAGGCAGGACCTGGAGGTGTGCAGCTCTGTGAGGAGAGCTGAGTAGGAGCCATGGAAGGTCCTGGCACCACAAAAAACCATCCACTCAGGCAGAGTAAATAACTGGAAAACAAAGCTGCACCTAGACAGGAACTGACACGGAGCAGGGATGACAGGATTCCTCATTCTGCCACAAAGGCATCAGAAAGAGGCAAAACAAAACAGTGACTAAAATAATGGGGCTGTTGTGAATTATTTACAGGCTCTGCCCTGAGTAGCTGCCCTCGGGGGTAAAATCAGCATCACCTGGAAGGACTTGTTTGGTTCCTCTGCAGTAGGAAAGCCACCCTGTGTCTACCCAGCGCTGACAGCAGCACAAGCAGCAGGGAGCAGCTCACCTTGTAGGGATCAGAACCGTCCTTGTCTGGCACCACCTCTGTCATCCCATGACACACAAGTGTTACCTGGAGAAGGACACAAAGGCACTGACACAACCCAAAATACGACAGGGACTTTCTCTGTCCCTGCACTCGCTGCATCACAGCACAGCGGCTGCGCATCCAAAGCCCCCACAACCGTGCTGAGCAGGACCACTCCTCTCCTACACCCGTTTCCCCACACCTTTTTGGCTCCCTCAGCATATCACACCCCAACACCTACACATCCATCTGCAGGCACAGATTCTCACCCTGAAGTGATCCAGCAGGTCAGCAGTGACAGCGTAGGGTGCCCCAATCACCACCTCTGAGACGTACTGAAAAAGCGAACAGGTGGAGTCCAGGGGTGAATAAAAACCCAGAGCAGAAAACAGCCTGCTTCCTAAACAGACCTGAGCAGATCACCTGGTAGGAAAGCCAGGATCTCAAATGAGGGAACAGGAAAGAGGGCTTAGCAGCCACTGCTTATCACTCAACATCTTTTTGTTCCACTAAAGAATAGACTTCCTGGTAGCAGGTACATAGCAAATCCAAAAGTTAATTGCTCGGGGCATGTTTCTGGGCCTCCCCACATTTCTTTCCCAGGAATTTTCTCCCCTGTTGCAGGGAACAGAGTCTTCTAGAAGAACACACCTGTAGAGCAGTGCTCTGCAAGGCATCCTGCCTTTCTGCTACTGGTGGAGCTGGTGGAGGGTTCAGCA